TTTCTTTCATTTATCAGATAACATTGTAATAACAGCTTTCTTCTTTCATTTATCAGACAATTGAAATAACAAATTTACGTTTTCCTTATAATGTTTCTTAGTAAGTTTTTAAAATCGAGTAATTTATGCATTTTTGTATGATTACGGTTGGTGTTTGGGTCTTTCTTTAAGGTTCCAGCGTTGGAGAGGTTATATATATTTCATCCAAATGGTTGTTTTGATTTTTGAAGTACCCTCACAACCCATTTATTTTACTTTATTAGTTACAATATTTGGTTTATTAATTCACGTCACATCAAACTTTCCTTATATTACATATCTGCAATATAGCATCAAATTATGAAACTCATTTAGAAGATTGCATAGCCTATCCTCATGATAAAATATAGAGAAAAAATCAATCACAATTTTGCGTTTTCTTTATAATCTGTTTAAAAAGGAATTAACGGGGATAAGCATGCATTTTTCTATGGTTGAAGCACAAGCATGCTTTTGTTAATAATTAATTTATCATTAATAACCAAAAGTTTATGAAAATGGATCAGCTAATTCTTGGCATTCCCACGAGAGGAAGAAACATAAGCGTGGGAATTGCGGAGTTAAAAGAGGAATATGTCGTGTGACATATTATAATGAGAATAAAACTTCAATTTAGAAGAAGATAAAAATAAATAAAGAGGGAGGAAGAGAAATTTCAAAAAATACCACTTTTCAAATGCTACTTTACAAAAATGCCACATTTTTTTAAATCTTTACAAAAATGTTACTTTTTCAAAATTATTTTTCATTTATATTTGGGTTAATTATGTTCTATTAAGGTTTAGTTTTGAGTGTTTAGGGGGTTTTAGGTGTCAAAATATTTTTTAGGGTTTAGAATTTTAAGATATAGGCTTTATAAATCTATAATTAGTGGTATTTTTGTAAATGGACACTCCTAAATGACATTTTTGCAAATATGCACATAAAAAATGATATTTTTGTAATTGCCATAAAGAGGAATGTAGTGGTGCTTAATTAACGTAAATCGAATTAACTTTATTTTATAAATGAAAGAAGACCAAAAGAAAAAATGAAGTTTGATGGCTTTTAGTGGATAAGGACTTCCTCTGCGATACCAATTTTGTGATGACATCAATATTCCAAGTTGCATCCATTTTCTTTGGCAAAGTAAAAGTCAAAAAAAGAGTCCGACATATAAGAAGGAGAATATGTTTCCATGTTCCACAACGGATATACATCAAAATTGGTAACGACTTTTTTTTTTAGAGTACTTCTAAATAGTATAATTATTGCATCCCATCTCAAACGTCATATAGTTTATTTAGTGATCTCACGGTTTTAAACTATCTTAGGAACGATATCCCTTTACACATGGACTTTAAGCTTTTTTTGGGACAATAAGATGCATCACTCAACATTCAACATCCATGTTTTTGATAATCAATCATTAGGATGATCGAAAGCTGATATATTTTTCTACGGAACTAAAAGAATATACGCGTTTTAGAGAATTTTTTTCGTTATTGTAATCTTCACATGTAATTTACAAAAAAAAGTTGATCATAATCGGTTTTTCTAGCTAAATCTAGTTTTTTTTTTTAATTAATTTTATGGGTTAATCTATTTCGGTGTGATTCAATCTAAATTTGAGTAATACGATAGCTTTAGTTGTATATATGTTGGAGCAATCTTCTGGTATGTACGCTAAGATTAATGTAGAGCAAGTACGTATAGAGAGAAATATAGAAAATGGATTGAACAAAAGCAATAAAATTAGTTAAATGGTGATTTGAAAGTGATAATAACTATCTAATTTCAGTCTTTTTTATTATTCGACC